CCCCTCTTCAAACTATGCCTAGATCCTGTATTATAGATCCTTGTTGTTCCAAGGCTGAGCATGCATCACTATTTACCTCTGTCCCATTTAACCCATGCAAACCTGACTCAGTGTTCCCCTATCTACCTTGATCTTCCACCCTTCCCCCTTCTAGTGTATTGGCCGCCCCAACACCCAAACTATGATGTGTCTGCCCCCTACCCTGTGCTCTACGGTTGCCTCCCTCCACCTTCCCCTAACCCCTCCTCCCCAACCCCACTGGTAACCAACAAAGAAAAAATTGTTTTCTTCCCCTTTTAGTATGGGTATCTTTTCTTAAGCTTTTACAATAATGGTCTTATGCAATATTTGTCATTTTGTGACTGACTGATTTCACTTAGCATAGTGTCCTCAAGGTTCATCCATGTTATACGGTGGCTTGCAGCTTCCTTGTTATTCTTCAAGGTAGCATAATATTCCATTGTGCAGGCTAATTTTTAAGTTGATGATTTTACATGGCCCGTGAATGGTGTTGTAAGTTTTGAAAGAAAAAAGGCTGCCCACCCCAGCAGAGTCTCTCTTTAATTAGAATCCACTTGATGGTAGTCAGTTTGTGTGAGTTAGGCTATTTTCAGTTTTTACATTTAGAAATAATATTACTATATGCTTCTATCCTTTTTTGAAAGTTCAAGACTCTGTGTATTGTTGTTGTTATGTGTTGCGGAGTCGGTTCTGACTCATAGCGACCCTGTACAGGGTTTCTGAGGCTGTAAATCTTTATGGAAGCAGAAAGCCTCATCTTTCTCCTGCGGAACAGCTGGTAGTTTCGAACTGCAGACCTTGTGGTTCACAGCCCGATTCGTAACCACTACACTACCAGATCTCTACTCCTTTGATGGTCCTAGAGTCCTCTGTTCCTCAAATGTAATATTAACTACTCCCCCCTTTTTGTTACAAAACTTCTACTTTTACAGTTGTGACAGTCACAATTAGTCATGATAACAATCACTATTGAATCATAAGAATCTTA